TTATCGTATCAAAGAAAGGAATTGAATGAGAAATTCAAGACTTTTGTTAATTATTAATATAATTCAAGAAGCAATTAGGAATGAATCATGTATTCTTTTGTGTGTCCATAATAGGAATTCACATAATAATGAGATGGAAAGCCCCCATTCTACCATCATCAGTGACTGTTTCTTGCAATGCCACAGCTATAGGCATGTCACCAAATATGGCATTTCATTGTAAGAGTAAATTAAATATTTCAAAATAAGTTCGATGCTATTTTTCTCAGAGGTGTTTTCTGTTATTCTGCTTGTATCTCCTCATAAATGCTAAGGTTTTTTTTGTCCTTCCAAATCCACTGATCCCAGCCTCTTTCAGATGTGGGAAGTGGGCTTATACAAAAGGTAGGAGGTAAGGGAGGGCTTCCTGGTTACCACTGCAGGGGGCTGCACTCTCTTTGTGGGAGAAGCTCTCTTTAGACAGCAAGTTCTTCATGTAGTACCTGAAGAGCCTTGGTCATTTCTACTTACTCATCCCTAGCTGTGTCAAGTGTTTTTAGTCTCCCCTTTGTTCCCTATGTGTGCCTCTTACTACCTACTCAGTACTGGACAATTTCTAAAGGGGTAGTTGTGTGGCACTGCTGCTTTGAAAGGATCAGAACCTACAAAAGCCTCTTGTGCACTGGTGCATTTGATACAATAGGATGTCAAGACACAAGAGGGACAGGGCAGGACTCAATAAAATGCTCAGAGAGAGTTTCTTAGTTTGCCTGGTGGCAGTCCAAAGATGATATTCACAGCGTGAAGCTTGAAGAATGATAGCCCTTTTCACAGAAATAAATGAAGACAGTGTGTAATGGAAAAGGAATCCCCGAGGAGAGGAGGTCCTAGTCATAGGCACCCCATTTAGACTCATCTATCATGACCATCTATGGCTTGTCACCAGAGTTGGTCCCTCAGACAGCAGAACAAACAGGGTGCCTGCATGCTGCCTCAGTGGTCTGTTCTCAGAGCCATAGGGTTTTCCCAGAACCTAGGTGGAGAAATTGTGCTATCACACCACAATGGTCTTTGAGGCTTTGCTCTCCTGGCAAGTCATAGATTGATGACAGAGGTAGTGCTGTTCTTCCTCAGGCCGTTGATGACTCTGACCACACCCTGCTCTCTCTGTGCATATGTGTCCCACTAATCAGGGCCTGGTGAGTTGTTAGGACTTTAGAAGATGCCAGAGGAAACTTGTCCCCTGGCTGCCATGCCCAAGGTAAATGAAGGAGGCAGGGAGGACTGTGGAGGACACAGTGTTGTGAGGCACTGCCACAGGCTACTGGAGCTTCATATTTTCTTCCCCAGTAGTGCCCTGCTGTGCCAACAGAGCATGCCCAGAGGAGATGCCCTGCTGGGGCTGTCACTGTTCACAGCTTGAATACTGTGGCCTTTGGGGAGAATGCACACTGGAGACCGGTTGTGAAGCGCATGGGGAGAGGGCAGTGCCCTTATCTTCCTAGAAAGCCTGGATGAAAAGGGAAAAGCAAATTGCCACTGTGAGAGGGCAGACAAAGGATTTCCCAGGAACAGTTCCTCGAATAATCTTTTTTTAGGAGCAACACATTTGTGCACACAGTTTGATGTTCAAATACTTTTTCTGAAGGTCTTTCAAATTAAGGTCATCTCAAGCACCGCTACCATGGATGTCCCTCTCTTTTTCCAAAAGCTGCCATGCAAGCCCAGGCCCCTCCCCTGCCTTCTACTGCTGTGGAGCAGATGATGGTGTTTATTAGAGCAGCCAGCTTGAGCCAGGATGTTCTCAAGGTAGATTTATTTGTGTGTTGGGCAGGCAGAGGCATCAGATTTTTGGTTTCCTTTTATACTCTGTAGCATCCATCTTTTGTTATCTCTTTGCTATTTGTTTGATGTTATATTTCTGATAGGTTTCTTCATCTTTCAAACTAGTAGCTTAGGAGTTGCTGCCACTCACCTTCTATTCTTCTACTCAAGGTGAACTGACTTCTGGAAGTACCTCTGCAAGTGGACTGCAGGCTATCCCAGGCAGAGGCAGCCATGTTGCTGCTCTCCCAATGTAACATTAAAGAGAGTGTCCCCCTTGCCTTAGGAAACGTTGCTTGCTGTCATGCATATGGAAATCATGTTTAAGCCAAATATGGTGACACATTCCTGTAACCCCAAAACTTAGAAGGCAGGCAGATTGTCAGTTTGAACCTAGCCTGGCTGATATAGCAAGATCCTATCTCATTAAACCTAATAAACAAACAAGCACACAAATAAGTAAAAATAAATACATAAGCCTTTAGATCTTTCATGATAGATTTTGAAAATCCTCATAGGAGAGTTACCTTTTAAATTACAAGTCAGATACAACCTAAGTGAGCACTGTGTTTTGAAATGGTAACCTTCCTACTTTATGAACCAGATAACAAATACACCTGTGGTCCAGGAGATGGGCTCAAAAGGTGTAATAGCTAGAACAATTAAACAAGACAGATCCCGGATGAAGCATCTGGGAAAACTGGCTGGAAAGCCCCTTAGATGAGCAGGTGAAATTCAGGTCTCCCCCTCAGGTAGAGTTTCCTTTGGGCAATAGGGTATGGGCTGTGCCAACTTAGAACAGCTGGGGCTGTAGAAATCTCTAGAAGCTGGAGGCTGTCTTCCAGGTCCTCACAGTGCTTGTGTGTCTGTGCAGACAGAGTTGTGCTGTCTTCAACCAGGGCCACGTGTGACTCCAAAAAGGACTGAAACACAGCTTCAGTGCCAATTGAAGAAACTGTGGGCTGGAACCATGGCCCATGTGCAGAGGATTAAAGATAATGCCCTGAAGGCAGAGGGGAGTCACAGTCCTGGAGTAAATGAAGAATCTCAGTCCAGGGGGATGTCATAGCTGAAGGGGCCTTGAACTCGGTGAACAGGGTTTATAGAAAGACAACAGAGGCAAGAGAATTGACTCCAAATAAATCAGAATCACACCAAGGGCCGGAACCACTCTAACGTCTATTCAGAAATGTATATTCACACATATTCAGAGACATCCAGTGTATACCTGATAGGAACCAGGCACGGTGTTGGCCTTGGATTCGGGTTTACTGACTCATAGAGCAGGGCTTTTCACATACTGATGTCTTCCACCCAGATCTCAGGCTGTAGGTCCTGTCTGGCGTCAGACTGAGGCTAGGCTGCACCCATAGATTCCTGAGATAAAACACCAAGCTTCCTCCAAGATCTGGAAGAAGACAATAAGTCACAGAAGAGTAGTCAAACTGGTTTCTGTGATTAAATCCCCAGATAGTAGAAGCACTTAGCATGCAAAAAGCTTAGGACATTGGTAATTTGTGTTGACCTTCAGCCAAAAGAGTAACAAGGAATATAAACTATTAATAATAGAAATAGTTTTCCTGCTGTATCTGTTGAATATATCAACACAGGGAGAAGTTGGGGAGTGGAGGGGCTGGGCCAAGGGAGGAAGGGCAGGGAGTGAGGGTAGAGCAAGCCATGATCAAAGACAGATGAAGTCAACAAGAAGGAGACCTGCCAGCTGCCAGCCCCTGGGCACACAGACGCTGAAACAGGACTGAATGAGGCCTTTCATTATACCTGATGGAAGGCTCTCCAGGACCCATTTGCACCAAATGAGTTACATTTTGCCCAGACGAGTCCCATTTTAGAAGGTTCTACTATTTCTGGGGAAATTCAGCAAACTAAAGAATCTTCTTGACTTTAGCAGCCTGGGCTAGGGCATCTTTACCTGGGCTGGTGATGGCAGGAGCTGGTGCTGATGGTGCCAGATCCCCTTCCCACCACTTATCCGGTCACTTTAAAAGGCTAAGGAGGCTGTTACTATTCCCATTTTGCAAATGAAGCAACTAAAGAATGAGCTTGTCCTCCTCACAAAGCTAATAAACAGTGCAGCAAGGTCTGATGCATTATTGCCTTCCTTCTGCAAGGTGGTCAGTCCTCTTACTTTGCAATGCTGATGTTCCTACTCTGAGAAGGAAAGAAGGAAGGAAGGAAGAAAGGGAGGGAAGGAGGGAGGGAGGGAGAGAGAGAGGAAGGTAGATTTCAGTCTGTCTGGGGTAGCACATATCCAGAACATGTTGCCTGGCTCCTGGGTTTGAAATGGATAAGATGCTGGGAAGCCGTATGCTACAGCAACTGAGTTTTATGAACTAGGTTTATTTGAGTTGCGCAGGAAGCATGGTGATGTCTTCGAGTTGTGTTTCTATTTAACTAGTTCCAAATTCCATCACAAAGAATGTGCATTAGTGATAACAATAGCTATCTCAATATAAAAGAATTAGCAGAAATAGAAGAAATAAATTCATATTGCAAGTTCATTAGGGGGCAGGAAGATAGTTCAGTGGTTAAGAGTGCACACTGTTCCTATAGAGGACCCCCCACCCTTTTTTTTTTTTTTTTTTTTT